CAGAAACCAGTATATAGACAGACACACAGACCCTTTGTTTCTCTCCCTCCTCCCAGCTTTTGAAAGTATCTTGTCTCCTCATTGGTCATTTTGGTCAGGTGCCAGCGAGGTTACCTTTAGCTTCTTAACCCTTTACAGGTGAGAGGAGCTTTCCCCTGGCCAGGAGGGATTTCAAAGGGGTTTACCCTTCCCTTTATATTTATGACACTCTCTCTCTCTGGTTTCGGTCTCAGTATGGTGACAGGTTTCAGATTGGTAGCCGTGTTAGTCTGTATCAGCAAAAACAAGGAGGAGTCCTTGTGGCACCTTAGAGACTAACAAATTTATTTGGGCATAAGCTTTTGTGGGCTAAACCCCACTTCATCAGATGCATGGAGTGAAAAATACAATAGGCAGGTATATATATTACAGCACATGAAAAGATGGGAGTAGCCTTACCAAATGGGGGGTCAGTGCTAATGAGCCAATTCAATTAAGGTGGAAGTGGCCTATTCTCAACAGTTGACAAGAAGGAGGTGAGTATCAGCAGAGGGGAAATTACTTTTTGTAGTGACCCAGCCACTCCCAGTCTTTATTCGGGCCTAATTTGATGGTGTCCAGTTTGCAAATGAATTCCAGTTCTGCAGTTTCTCGTTGGAGTCTGTTTTCGAAGTTTTTTTGTTGAAGCCACTTTTAAGTCTGTTGTTGAGTGTCCAGGGAGATTGAAATGTTCTCCTACTGTTCTACCAGAAGGACTCCAAGTTGTTTTTGGTCTCAGTATGATTTCTCCTCTTCGAGATCCTTTTCTAAATTGTTTGCACAAAGTATGTGTTGAGCCCCTCCTCTAAGGGAAAGGACCCTACAGATGTTATTGGTTTCCTGTTCAAGGAACAGGTTTTTTAAATGAGCGAAATGAAGGAGTGTTGTCCAGGGGAACGTCTACCCTATGAAGCCTACGTCAGCACAGCTCTGCTCCCTAGTGTAGACACAGCCAACAGAGGGAGTTCTTCTGTTGGGGTAGGAACACCACCTCCCTGAATGACGTTAGCTCTGTCGCCAGATGCCCTCTTCCATCGACGTGGCTGAATCTACTTTGTGGGGGTTTGTCGGCACAGCTGTCAGCCAGGCATGTCTTCTTCTTTTTTCCCAGACCCTGGACTGACGTAGCTTCACCGACATCACTTTTAATTTTAGACCAAGCCTAGTAGTGGTTAGAATGTGAGACATAGGTGTAGCACTCCTGGGTTCTATTCCCAGATCTGCCATTTCTGTGTCCAGGGCTACAAAAGGAAGTCTGGTTTACAGGTAAAATTTAGATCCACAGAGCTATGGCGTGCAGAGGTGTGAGAAATTACACACTGCTAAGCAGCCTGACTATGCTGACCTAACCTCTGCTATAGACGTGGCTAGGTCAATGGAAGAATGCTTATGTCAACCTCGCTACTGCTGCTTGGGAAGATGGAGTTCCTGCAGTGACGGAAAAACCCCATCAGTCACAGTAGTCTTCATCTACACTATGGGGCTACAGCAGCCTAGCTATGGTGCTATAGCGAGGCCACTGTCAACCCTGTAGTGTGGACAAGAAGCCCTGAGTCACTTCACTTCTTTTGTCTTGGCTTCTGTATCAGTCCAATGGGGTAAAACATAACAAACCCCTGAGGATGTTGTGAGACGTAATTAGTTTGTTTGCAACGTGCTTTGAGATCCTCTGTTGAAAGGAGCGATAGATGTGAAAGGGTTAGTACCAGAAGAGTTCAGATCTCGAGCTGGCTTTCAATGACTCCGAAGTTCAGGATATTTTGGATGTAAAGGTTTCTTTTGGGCCCATTATAAAGACCAGGGGCCTTCTGCAAAATGGAGACCCTGATTTGGAGTCAGACTTTGAACAAAGAGCCAGAGTTCAGGGATGTTGTGAACTAGTGTCCTGTGAAGGGCCAAGCATGCGTTTTTAAGCGACTTCACCCTCAGCGCCTGATCCCTCAGCTGCCACTAATGATCATCAGTGGGGAGCCTTTGCCGATGCCTCTGAAATATTACGTGTGCAGCCTCTGTTGAATTTCTTCTCTCCCTCATTAGAACAGGTATAAACCTGCTTTACCAGTTACCAGAGACAGTCCCTGCACTGACCTACTGCAGCTCAGATTCTTTTTCCCCCCAGTGCTTCATTTCACAGTGAGTTACACACGCCCGAGAGCTGCTGTGCGCCCCACACTGCCTCTCCATGCAGCTTGACTTTATGAACTCCTTTAATACCCCCACCCTCCGCACCAAGGAGGTGTTGTGCTGGGATCTTGAATATAAAGCTTGTCATTGTCGTTCAGCCTGAAAGCCCCAGCACCCTCCGTGTTTCCTTCCCAGGCACTTGACTATCAAAACGACTTTGTGGTCATGCAAACAGATTTCACAAATGGCCTCTCCTCCTCACTGCCTAATAACCGTTGCTTTTAATAGAAACGCGCTCGACGGGTCACCGGGAGCCATGATTAAGCCTGTTGTATGGATACGTGTCTCTTGCTGTCTCCTTTCACTTCCTCATTTCAGAGAAAGGAATCTGGAAGCTGGCATCAACCAGAAACCTCCAAGATTATAGAGCGTAGTGCTTGGCACAAAGGGTTTTCAGCTCTGTACAAAGCATGTGCGGTTGGACTTTTAAGTGATCTCTGTCGAATTATAGCTGGAGAGGTGCCTGCAGAGTACTGGAGTGCGTGTGTGTGTCTGGATGTTGTGTGTCAGATTGTGCGTGTCTGCCTGCTGCACAGGTATCAGATTGCATTGGGGTGCTGCAGCGGGTGTGTCAGATTGGGTGTTGCACAGGCATCAGATGGCTTGCTCCCTTCCTTCACCCCATTTTATAACAGGGAAGAGACACCCTTTTTAATCAGGATTTTCCTCCTGACCTCCCAGATGTGCATATGGCTGCCGCTAGGGGAACAACTGTACTGATGTTTTCAGAGTAGCAGCCATGTTAGTCTGTCTCCGCAAAAAGAACAGGAGGACTTGTGGCAGCTTAGAGACTAACCAATTTATTTGAGCATCAGCTTTCGTGAGCTACAGCTCGCTTCATCGGATGCATGCTGTATTCGTCTGCAGAACAGACAAGCACCAGCAGACTGGAATCAAATTCAAACCTGCAATATCCTGAATGCATCGACAGCAGCAAGTTGTGGGAGGGGGGGAAGGGGAGGTCCCAATTTCCAAGCTGTTGGGATCCCCAGCTCCAGAGGAGATGCCCAACACTGAGATTTTCAACGTCTGGAAAATATTCCCTTAAGGGGCCAGTAATAAAAGCTAAAGAAAAAAGGTAGAAAATGTCCTTCTGATACACGAATTAGCTTCATCTCCCTTTGAATTCTAGGGGGCATTTCAAAGTGCCGTGAGTTCTGAGGCCTGACACATACTGGAGCTCACCGATCCAATGCACTGCGTAGGACACCCCAACCGCTCTGACAGCCAGGGAGTAAGGCAGGCTCTGTAAAGGGAGAGAAATTCAAAGCAATGCCCGGTGACGCAGGGAGGGGCAGAGACAGTACAGTGTGGGCTGCGGCGTGGGTCGGAGAAGAGCCTTGATTCCACTGTGCAGAGGAACCTGTCCAGAGCAGTGAGCTATAACCTGGGCAGAGCAAGATAACCAGCAAAGGGGCTTTTAGGGCTGTCGTCAACAGAGCTCTCGTTATTTTCCAAGAGGAGCCTTTCAATATAACTGTATTAAGGGTCTTCATCTGGGGAAACTAAACCACGTGAATGAAATGACACCGAAGCGAGAAGCTCGCCAGCACAACACGGTGCCCCCTGATTTATTACTTTTTTTAAAAGAGTGAATTTTCCAAGAATCAATACGGGAATTGGTATGAAAAAAATACAATGCAAAAGAACAAAGCTGGGCGAGCCAGACAAGGAACTCCAGTGACCTGCTGCCACGTAAAGCCTGGGAGCTTCCTGCAGGACTTCTCCTGGTCAAAGAACAACCGGATCTCAGGAAAACGCTGTGCGGCTGAGCTGTGCTCCTGAAGGATGGATGCAGGAAAGTAAGGAAAGGACCCAGCTCCCAACTGAGGCAGGGCCTGACCCAGAGGAGAGTTGTGCATCCAGACACCGATGCAGCAGGACCCGGTGAAAGTCAAGTCAGCCTCATACAGTAACATCTGCCACCAACAGGGATTGTGTGTCTTTAAACAGCGGAGGTTATTGTCTTTGGAAGGTGCTAGGTAAAACTGCCAAGGGCAGGTGTGTTCAGAGCCAGGGGAGCGTAGAGATGCAGGTAGGTTAAAAAAATTGGGAAAGGGGAGGGGCCAGCATGAGAGTCCTGTACTTCCACTGGGGGTCCATCAATAGCAGTAGGAAAGAGAAGAAATAAGGTGAGGAAGGAAAAGGACACACGGGGTGGGCATGACAAAGTTTTACATCCCAGGTGCTGTTTGCCTGGAGCTGGTGGAAGTGGTGGTGTCATCTGGGTCCCTCTCTCTGGCCCGGTCTGGTCAGGATGTCTTTAGGATTAGGATGACGAAGGGTCCCGGTCTCCCAGGAGATGGTGGGGGTGTCAGCCATTAGGGTGAAGCTCGCTCCTTCCCCTTCTTGTATCTTTCAGTCAGCCAATGTACCAATCCATCCACCCCCCCAAAAAAAAGCCTCTTGGTTCAAGGACCCCCGAAGGGGAGCGATGGGCAGAACAGCCCGTCCTCTCATTATTTTGGCCACAGATTAGGCCTAGTTTTTGCCACAACAATTTTGGTTCACAGATTTCCATTCCCACACTTTTCTTGCTCACCAGGCATGATCTTAACAATGTCCTTGAGTTATATCCAACGGTCTCTTTGCTTGGACTAGGTCAGTCTGTCTGTCTTGCTTTTGTGCCTTTTCCCATCAACATTTGCTATCATAGGTTACCATTATAGTGATGTTTTTGTGACCTTTCACTCACTTTTTATAGCTGAGCCGGCAATTAGGGTAAATTTGTAGGCCCAATGATCACAATGTCCCGGCCCAGCCATTGCACTATTGCTTAGGGTAAAGGTTGTATTGAATCTGACTCCATTATATAGCTGTCAATTTACAAGTGATTGTGACGTTCCCCTGATATTATCTGTAAGGTCACTCCGATCCTCGACTCTGGGAACCAGCTTTACCCTGCTCTGCTGTGAGAACCCCCACTCCCGGGCTGTTCACACACGGCCTCTGGCATGTAAGCTGCTCCCAGCGACGTGAGTGAGCACTTTCGGCCAACCGCTGCTTGGATTGTGCAACTGAATGACACTAATCAATATCTCTGGTCCCAGACACAACCCGAGGAGCCTCCATCTTGCAGTGTCCAATTATGCCCACTGGAAGCTGCAAGCTTATATGAGTTCATCAGTTTAACAAAGAAATTGATATGGACCAGGCTTGTTATCCCAAGGGGAGTCTCTGACATGCTTCAAACCAAACACACTGCTTCAGGTAGAATAAACAAACAAATGTATTAACTATAAAGATAGATTTTAAGTGATTATAAGTCAAAGCACAACAAGTCAGATTTGGTCAAATGAAATAAAAGCAAAACACATTCTAAGCTGATTTCAACACTTTCAGTGTCCTTACAAACTTAGATGCTTCTCACCACAGGCTGGCTGGTTGCCCTTCAGCCAGGCTCTCTCCTTTGATCAGGACTTCCATCACTTGTAGATGGAGGTGGAAGAGAGAGGAAGAGCATGGAAAACGTCTCTCCCTTTTATCATGTTCTTTCTTCCCTCTTGGCTTAGCCCCCACACTTCAGGGTCAGGTGAGCATTACCTCATCGTAGTCCCAAACTGACAAAGGGAAGGAGGGTGACTCACTCAAGAGTCCAACAGATCCTTTGTTGCTGCCTAGGCCAGAGTCCCTTGTTCCTGTGAGGCTGGGCTGAGTTTGTCCCATTCATGCCCTGATGAGGTGTGAACTGCCCCTCTGCTCCTGGAGAGTTTTGCCTGGGCTTGTTTTACTCGATGAGGACACATTTTCAGCCTCATAACTATATACATGAAATTACAACCTATAACATTACTATAACAACAATGCTCAGAGCCTTCCAAAGACACCGGACATGACAAACTTTGCATTGGATACCACACAATCATATTATAAGGATGAACATGGGGTGCAGGGTGTTCCCCCGAATACAGAGTGTCAGTGATTCAATTCAATTTATTTGACACTAAACCTGGATGTTCTAAGTGCCACAGGTGGTTGTATTGATGGGGCCTTCCTGCATTGTAGGAGCTGTCAGGGGGAAGTTGGGAGTTTTGGTAGCTAGTATGGGGGGCAGTAGGGCACTCAGGGTGGTGCGTGAGGCCCTGTGGGAGCCATGGAAACCTGGGTACCTTTGCTAAGATCATCAGCAATGAATTAGCACCAAGGCTCCAGGGGCTAGACTGTGCCACCTTGGGGGCATGGCCAGCTCCCAGCCCCACGCAGAGTGTATATGCGTTGTGTGGACGGCTGTAGTGTTACAGACACCATGAGCACTTGCCCCTCCTATCTGCATGGCTCCAGGAGCTGGGGGCAGTGCAAAGCCATCAGCTTGTTCCCAGGGGGTTGGATGGTGAACAAGGGAGAGGCTAATCAATATGGTTGGTTGCTTTAAAAAAAGTCAGATGAAGTTGTGAATCAGGAAATTTACTTTTGCAAGGTAAAGCAACAACCTCCTCCCCCTATGTCTCTCCTTCCTGCGCGATCCCTGTAGCCTCTGAGAGCCTGACCCCGTAGCGTACGAATGCCCCATGCTGCTGGGGGGCGATGCACAGTGCTCTGCTAAGCAGATGCTCCCTTACATGATGCTCATTGACAGCAGGCCCAATCTGGAGGGGTGCTGAGCTCTCAAAACTACCGTCGACGTTCCTGGGAGCTGCAAAGGCCCCGCACCGCTCGGGATTTGGCCTGCTGTTTGCAAAGCGCGTTGGGATTCTCTGGGAGGAAGACGCTTTATTAAACGCATGATATTACACAAGCTGAATGCTCCAGAAGGCTTTGGACGTGATTAAGAGCTACAGGCTGGAAAGGCAGCTTGAGAGGCCAAGTTACACGAGGACAGTTCTAATACAATTAAGTAGCAAAAGCGCCATAAAAAGAGGCAGACAGCCAGGGTACGGAAAGCACTTTCCCTGTTAACCACCAGAGGGAGCTCTTATATTAATTAAGTCTCTATTTGCTATTGGGGATGGAGAGTTTATTTTGCCCCTTATTAGCCAGGAACCAGAAGGAGGCTGAATTTGATACAGTCTTTTTGCTGGGCTGTGAAAGGGCATTAGCGTTTCCGAGTACTGAATGGAAAGGGACGGTCTGTGAGTGAGGCCAAGGAAAGAACCTGGCTTAACACGATCTACTTATCTCGAGTCCTCGCTCCGTCTATGTGCTCTCACAGCAGTCGTCTGCAAACCCTGGATGCCGGCTGGGGCTTGGGATTTTAGTATTTGTTTTAAACAGTCTTTCTGGAAATGGATACAAAATTCAGACGCACCGAGGGTTACAAATGCCGCTGGCATGTTCCCTGAGCACTGCGCCAGATTCCGCCTCGTTTATACACAGCCAGAAAGAAAAAGGAGCTCAGCTCTGTCTTGTGCAGAGGTCCTGTAGGGTTCAGATCCGCATTTATTACTAGTCTAATCTCTGTGCTACAGAAGATGCTTGTTTGGTGCCGGGTGATCCTCTTTGGATACCTGTTCAGACACTATGCATGTAAACTCCCCCTATCATTTCCTGCCCCTCATTTGCATGCAGAGAAACTCTCAGGCCATTCTTACTCCTGACGCTAATGAGCAGAGCAGGCCGCTCGGGGGTACACTGGAATCATATCCAATCCCTTCTGTGATGAGAACACAATCTAGCACCACCCGCAGCCCTAGCTCACAGGGCCTGACGCTCATGTCATCTACGCCGAGGTGAATCAGGAGCGATTCCACTGAAGCCAAGGGGGTGAGGGTTTCCCTGGGGTAAGTGAGAAGAGCATCAGGCCTAATGAATCTGTGTCTGTTTCAAATCGTATCCTTCATCCAAATCTGCTGTTCGCTATGAAAATGAATCATGCAGGGCCAGATGGTGCCTAGCCCTTAGATGGGGGCGTGGAGGGGGTGGGCGGCGGAAGGACCCTTATCCCCACCCCCTTCCCTGGCTTATGTAAGTGTAGGGAAAATTACAGCCCTGGCGTGTGCAGGGGTTACTCCCTCCTTGTTCCCCTGGTGCAGACAATGCCAAGACTCTGCCCCATCTGTGCATGAACCAACGGAGCTGTCTGGGCATGCGGGACTTCGCTGCACCCTGCAAAGAAGGCAGCCGGGACGCAGCCGCTGAGCGTCTGCAAACTGCTCTGGGCCTTCACTGCAGCCAGTGGCGCTACCCTGATTTATACCAGCTCAGGATCTGGCCCCATGAGGCAGAATGCCTCCCACTGCTCCTGGCCGGGCAGTGCAGCTTCATGCCATCCCTCGCTAGGGGCTGCACCAGCAAGGCCCCATCCAGCCCTTCATTATGGAATCATTTCCCTCCAGTGACTATTTCAACCCTCCTCTCCAAAGTGCCGAAAACACCGCGGGCTCCCACAGGTGCCAGGAAACCTTCAAACTGGGGGGGCTGATCCCCTGAAATGGAAGGTCCTGCACAATTTAGCAGCCCCCTTCATCATCTTCAAAAGGGCCGTCCCCTGGTGCAGAGTTCCTTTAGTCATGCTGGCTGTCTAGCCTCTCGGTAGGGCAGTGTCTACAGCACCGTAGTGTAGACGCTCCCTACCGTGATGGGAGGGGTCTTTCCGTCGATGTATATAATCCACCTTGCCGAGTGGGGGAGCTAGGCCGACAGAAGATGAAGCTGCGTCTACAGTGGGGCTTAGGGTGACCTAACTACGTCACACCAGGCGTGACATTTTTCACAGCCCTGAGTGATGGGGCTGGGTCAATCGAATTTTTAGGTGTAGACCAGGCCTATGATTCCTAGGTCATAAGGCTAGAAGGTTTGATTGTGGTCATCTAGTCTGACCTGTGTAACACAGGCCACAGGACTTCCCTGCATTAATTCCTGCTTGAATCAGAGCAGATCTGTTAGAAAAAAACCCATCCGGTCTTGATTTTAAAATTGCCAGTGACGGAGAATCCACCACGGCCCTTGGTAAATTGTCCCAGTGGTTAAAATGTTAAAATGTCCCTGTTAAAATGTATTAGTCTGAATTTGTCTAGCTTCCACTTCGAGCCGTTGGGTTGTGTTATACTTTATCTGCTAGATTGAAGTGCCCTTGCTTATCGATGAGTTCCCCTTGTAGGTAAGTACAGACAGTGACCAAGTTGCCTTGTGGTAGGATGGGTTCTCCTGGCCCCCTCCCCTGCCAGGATGGGGTTAAAGAGCTCCTCTGGGCCCACACCAGCCACCGCTGTGGCTTGTCAAGCCTGGAGAGGGGCAGCCCCTCAAAAGGGGGGATCCAAGCCCGGTGCAGGCTGGCACTCGGAGGAAAGCAGGGCTGGAGCTCCCAAACCCCTCTGAGAAGGAGCTGTGGGTCAGGAAAGCTGCTGAAGAGCTTCTGCTGCTGGATCCTCTGGAGAGGTAGAGGGGCCATCTCCAGTTTGCTTTGCTTCCCCGAGAGCCCAGGGTCCCCCCAGACGCCCGAGGGGTTAGAAACCCAGCCTCCCTTCCCAAGGGCGATTTGCCTTGCGCGGGGCGAGCCCGGGCTGTTTTGTGGGCTGCAGGATTGTTTGGTTTGTCATTTTGGACTGCAGCCAGGAGCCCCCACGGATGTTGGGCAGGAAGGGGCGGCGTGGGGGCGGGGCCTGGGGGTGGAGGACCCCCTGGGAAAAAGAGAAGTCAGCCCTATGTGTGTGTCCCACCCTTAGAAGACTTCCTCCTAAGAGCAACCTCAGAAATCACAGGGGCAGTTCTTGTGCTGGCCTCCAATACCATCCGTTCAAAGGCCGCGGCTCAGATTTCACAGGGCAAATCGCCGTTGGCTCTGCTTAGAGAGAATATAATTGAAATCTTTAATTGTTTGTGAAAACAGGAACATGCCAGGTGGCTGCTGACTTTCCAGGTCATGAGTTCCCCCGATTCGGAGTCACACCCACGCTGACAGCGAAATCGAAACAAAGTGCCAGGGGGAACAAGAGACGCTGTGTCAGTTCCGGGCCCCCCACGGGGAAGACCTTGAGTGACTCGGATGATAGAATTTTAGAGCCTGCCCTCACTTCTCCTTTCTCGCTGTGCCCGGCAGAGAGCTGCAGCTTCCTTCTCCGACAGCAGCTCTTTAAGTCTTTCTCCGAGGCTGCCCAGAGCCACGCTGCCTTCTCCCTCTACGTGGCAATGGCCGGGGTTACCTTAATGGCAGCGTATTCAGAATGTTCTTCTGGGGCGCTCTGCTTGGGCTGCTGGAGCCTGGCCGGGTGCTGCAGGTCAGCGTAGAGCACGTCTGGGTCTTTGTCATCACTGGGCTAAAAAGAAAGGGTTCATGAATTGGTTCCTGGGTACAGCAGCGAGCGCTATGTACGCCCTGAGTTATGCATGAGCACGTGCACGGTATGGCATCCCTGTGTTTATAAGAACAAACTGCCCTCTTCTTATCCCTCTTAATTACTCCCTGGCCCGCTGTTGTGCAGCTTTGCACCCAAAGAGCAGAGAGGAGGAAAAGCGGAGAGATTGCAAAGTTACTGTCAGCCCAAACTGACCAGTTTCCTCCCCCTGCCCTCCAAGCAGTTTATTTCTTCAGCCCCTCTCTGCTCGCAGCACATACAGCCACCAGAGCGGTCCTTGTGTGCCCTGGTTTGTGCTGGATGCTGCACCGTTCAATAAAACATCCCACACAGCGTGCAGGCTCCCGACTTCTCTGGGTACAGTCCACGCCTGGCACCGAAGGGGTTAATGCCAGCTGGGCTGCCAGTGAGTCACACACTCAGACGCTAGGGTTTAAAAAAAGAACGTGGAGGCTCTAGAGAAACCCCAACAGGACCCTGAGCCCAGCGGCTGAAACACCACCCAAGCTGCAGTGTGCCACGGGGGAAGTAGCCACAGGCTGGAAAATCTCCCCGTGTCTGAGCAACAGCAGGGGCAGGAAGGGGCAGGAAGTGTCTGATTCCAATGCAAGCCAGGAAAATCAACGTGACCCCTTCCTGGGCCTGGTGCTGCTCCCCGCTGCAGCCCCATTACTGGTAACGTCTGGGAGTCGTCAGGATGGCCGTGGGTACGTCTGCGCAGCGGTCAGAGCTGTGTTGCAGCACGTGTAGGCATCCTGAGCTAGCTCTCATCCAAACAGCTTGTCAAGATGGCAGTGTTGTGAGGGTGGGCTGGGCTTGCCACCTGAGCATGTACCCGGGTCCCCAGGGCGGCATGCTGCCATCCGTGCCACCATGGCCACACTGCTACTGTTAGCGAGCTAGCTCGGGTTTGTCGACGTGCCGCAGTGACACCTGATTGCAGTGTAGACAGGGCCAGAGAGGCCCCTGGTGGGCATGTCCCCCAGCTAGGCATAGCGCATAAGGCTGCTGTCATGTGGCCCTACGCTCTCTCCCCTCACAGCCCCCACTTTTGGGGCATCCCACGGGAGGGGGAGGGTGTGACAGGGTGCGAGGGGGTGTGGCTGGCATGCAGAACAGCCCCCTCGCCCCAGTTGCTCCTGCTGTGCACAGCACAGAGCCTGGCCCCATGTTACTGACTTCTCTTTCCATGGGAATTACCGTGGTCCCTTCTATCCTCTGCCTGTCTCCAGGGGGCTGCTGGGTCAGCGTGCGGGTGCTGGGGGTTAGTGGCCTGTGCCATACGGGAGGTTGGGCTGGACGATCTGGTGGCCCCTTCTGGCCTGGAACTCTGTGACCCCGGTGTTTCTAACAGTGACGATGGGGCAATGAGCCTGACTCTCCCCCGGTTACACTGGTGTCGCTGTGTTGGCCTCAGTGGAATTACTCCCGCCTTCCACCAGTGAGAGGAGACCCTGGCCAGTGCCTCTGCGTACTGCTGGGAGGTGGTGCAAGCTGGAAAGTGACAGCCCAGATGGCCTCTTGGGCTGCTCAGTGAACCCATTTGGGAGGTCAGAAGGGGAGCAGCCGGGCCCCTGCGCCCCAGCTGGGGCTGCTGCGTTGGGTTTTGTGCAGCCTCAGACATCCTGGGAACAGGACCAAACCCCCCCAGCCCCTATGCATCAGGCCAAAACCCTGCGGGCCTGATCCTAGGAAGCAGTGAGGAGGCCCAATGCAGCTGGGGGTAAGTCTCCACTTAAAGCTGCGGGTGCGATTCCCGGGTCGAGGAGACACACTCATGCAAGAGTGAAGCCACGGGCATGGCCACCCTGAGACCATGCCTAGGTCTTAGACGAGTGTGTACCCAGGGAGCTAGCCTCTCCCACTGCTCCCACTGCGGCAGCTACACTCTGGTGTTAGCACCCAAGCTTGATCCGAGCCAGTGCAGGTTACATGTCTCCTCAAGCTGGGAACCACACGCCTAGCTTGAACTGTGGACGTGCCCAAGAGGGCCACTCTCCCGTTGTATCAGCATCACGTCATACCTGGCTCTGAGTCCTCGTGGTATCCGGAAAGGGAGTCTGAGACCTGTGGGAAAGAGAATCCTAATTAGACACAGATAAGAGGATTTTGCCCCCCCAAGAACTGAACTGTGTAGAAGAAAAGGAGCTGAGTCCATCCCAGGGACAGAATCTGGCCCTGGAAGTTTGGCTGGGGTTCTTGGCCAGACATGAAATCGGCTTTTTATTCGGGGGTGATTTTGGAGGCGGACATTCTGTGCGCTTGCTTTTTATATTGCTTTGCTGGGCTCTTAAATACCAAGGTAACAGGTGCCAGAGAAACACCTAGTCCCAGCATAGATACAAACTACTGGAGTCCGGCTTCGGGTAGAATTCCAGTCACAATAAGCAGACACAGCAAAGTGTTATGGATAAAAAGATCTTTTACAGCACAACATGCTTTGAGGGAATTAAGCCAGGAGGCTGTTGGGTCAGACAGAGAGAGAACAGGTGAGACCGAGTTAGTTTGACTAAGAGTTGTTGAATTAACACCAGCTTTATACAGACCTGGCTGTGGAGGGGCTCCTGCCTAGATGGGCAGAGGAAAGAAACAATGAGGTCAGTTAGTCATGCTAGGACCAGCAAATAGCCCTGGAGTAAATGGAACAGGCTGGTTGAAATGCTGCACTCACCTCTCTTCTTTCTCACAAAGAAGTAAGTGGAGACAAGGACTAAAACGACAAGGAGGACACAGACTGTCCCGGCAGCAGCAGACACAGCAACCTGGTGGCGATCTGGGAAAATAAAACCTAGAGGCACAAGCTGCACTTCAGGGGTTGGCAGAGACCATTCTGCAGTGCATAAATAACTGACTGGTGAGTTTGTCTGCCATGCTTCTGTAGCGCGGTCCACAGTCACCTTCCAGGACTGCCTAGGAGCCTGGGTACCAAAAAGGAATGGGAATGGCTCCTTTATGAGCATGCATTTGATCTAGGTGGTGTTACTGACACCTGGTGGGAGGATGCACACTATTGGAATGTTAAAATCAACAGTTACAACCTCTTTAGGAATGTATGAGGCCGGCGGATTGCTTGAGCTCAGGAGTTCTGGGCTGCAGTGGGCGATGCTGATTGGGTGTCCACACTAAGTTTGGCGTCGATATGGTGATCCCTGGGAAGCTTGGGATCACGAGGTTGCCCAGGAGGGGTTGGGCGGGCTGGTCGTTGGGGTTCTCCAGGATATCAGCTGTGAGACCCTGTTGGGGGGTGACTGTGTCTCTTTGGGACTGGATCCAGGTCCTGCTCCTGTAACGGCCGAGGGTTTGAATTTGAATCCAGGGAACCAATCGGCTGAGATGGAAATGGTCAGTGTAGCTACTCTGAAACCTCTTTAGGAAAGACAGAATGGGCAAAAGGGGAGAGGGCGTGACACTCTATATCAAAGATGGCATTACCTGTTTCACTGATAACTTAGAAGAAAATGATTTTGAATGCTTATGGATCAATGTCCTAACAGGTAAAGCACCAGATGGGGTATTAATTGGAGTCTGCTACAGACCCCCAAATTATACTAGGGAACAGGATGGGGCACTTCAATTTGAGTGACATATGCTAGGGGTCTTATACTGCCAGTATTAAAACATCCTTGGAATTTCTAAACATTATAGATGACAATTTCCTAAAACAAAAAATGTTGCATCCAACACAGGGGAATTCTATATTACACCTTGTCATGATAGATAAAGAGAAACTGAACACAGAACTAAAAAACAATGGTATCTTAGGTACAAGCCGTCATGATTTGATCATATTTATGATGTGCAAACAGAACAAAGTCCAGACAAGTGATATAGATATATAAATGTTGCTTTCTAAGGGCCAGTTTCAAAAAGCTGAAAATAATTATGAGCCAAATCATGTGGGAGGAAGAATTTAATCAGAAAAAAGTGAATAATTAGGAATTGTTTAAGAACACTCTACTAGATGCCCCAAAAGCCACAATTGATGAAGAAGGCCATGTTGGTTAAAAAACCTACCTAGTTTAAAGAGGCAGTGAAGGCAGCTATTATTTATCTATATCTATATAAATAAAACAATTGGAAGAAAAGGAAAGTTGATACTAATGAATATAAATCAGAAGCTAGGAATTTTAGAAAATTGATAAGGGAAGCAAAGGGATACAAGGCAAAATCTATGACCAGCAGAGTTAAGGCAATAAAGAGTTTTTAAAATATATTAGGAACAAAAAGAATCCTAACAATGGAACTAATCCATTACTCGAAAATGGTAGAATTATCAGTAATAATGGAGAAAAGGCGGAAGTGTTCAATAAATATTTCTGTTCTATACTGGGGAAAAAACATATCATGTAGTCATGTCATATGACAACACTCTTTCCATTCCACTAGTGTCTCTGGAGGATGTTAAACAGTAGCTACTAAAGTCAGATATTTTTAAATCTGCAGGTCTGGATAACTTGGATTCAAGTGTTTTAAAAGAGCTGGCTGAGCAGCTCACTGTACCAATAATGTTGATTTTCAATAAATCTTGGAACACCCAGGAAGTTCCAGAAGACTGGAAGGAAGCTAATGTTGTGCAATATTTAAAAAAGGTCTCCAGGATGATCTAGGTAATTATAGGCCTGCTGTCTGACATCGATGCCTGGCAAGATGATGGAGCAGCTGATATGGGACTTGATTAATAAAGAATTAAAGGAGAGTAATATAATTAATGCCAATCAATGTGGGTTTATGGAAAATAAATCCTGTTAAATTAACTTAGTATCTTTTTTTATGAGATTACAAGTTTGGTAAAGGTAATAGTGGTAATATACTTGAACTTCTGTAAGGCATTTGATGCAGGATATTTTGATTGAAAAACTAGAAAGATATAAAATTAACATGGCACACATTAAGTTGATTAAAAGATGGCTAACTGATAGGTCTCAAAATGTAACTGTAAACCAGAAGTCATCATTGAAAGAGTGTGTTTCTAGAGGGATTCTCCAGGGATCAGTTCTTGGCCCTACACTATTAAACATTTTTATTAATGACCTGAAAGAAAAAATAAGATCACCACTGATAAAGTGAACAGATGACAGAAAAATTGGGGAATGGTAAATAATGAAGTGGCCTGGTCACTGATACAGAGCCATATGGATTGCTTGGTAAGCTATGCACAAATAAACAATGTTTTTTAACATGGCTAAACGCAAATATATACATCTAGGAGCAAAGAACGAGGCCACATTCACACAACTGGGGACTCAAACCTGGAAAGCAGGGACTCTGGAAAAGATGTGGGGGTCATGGTGGCTAATCAGCTGAACATGAGCTCCCAGCACGATGCAGTGGCCAAAAGGGCTAATGAGATCCTAGGATGCATAAACAGGGGACTCTCCAGTAGACGTAGAGCGGTTATTTTATCTCTGTATTTGGCACTGGTGCAGCTGCTGCTGGAATCCTGTGTCCAGTTCTGGTGCCCACACTACAGGAAGGATGTTGATGAATTGGGGAGGGGTCAGAGAAAAGCCACGAGAATTATTTAAAGGATTAGAAAACTTGTTTTACAGTGATCGACTCCAGGAGTCCAATCTGTGTAGCTTAACAAAGAGAAGGTTAAGGGATGGCTCGATCATATTCTATAAGTACTGTACCTACATTGCAGAACACATATTTAATAATGGGCTCTTCAGTTTAGAAAGGTAGAACATGATCCAATGGCTGGAAGTTGAAGCTAAATAAGGCGTACATTTTTTAACAATGAGAGGTTTCAGAGTAGCAGCCATGTTAGTCTGTATTGGCAAAAAGAAAAGGAGGACTTGTGGCACCTTAGAGACTAACCAATTTATTTGAGCATAAGCTTTCCTGAGCTACAGCTCACTTCATCGGAAGTATTTTCCACTGAATGCATTGGAGGAAGTGAGCTGTAGCTCACGAAAGCTTATGCTCAGATAAATTGGTTAGTTTCTAAGGTGCCACAAGTCCTCCTGTTCTTTTAACAGTGAGAGTAATTAACCACTGGGAAAAGTTCCCTAGGGTTGTGAGGATTCTCCATCACTGACCATTTTTAAATCAAGACTGGGATGTTTTTCTAACAGATACGCTCTAGGGATTATTTTGGGGCAGTTCTCTGGCCTGTGCTATACAGGAAGTCAGACTAGACACAAAGGTCCCTTCTGGCCTTGGAATCTACGTTAAAAACCCAGGATCCAGGGGGACGCTGCGTGGCGACACTGGGCAGCCCGGGCTGTGTTAGTCTGGAAGCTGGAGAACCGCAGGGGGTGCCTGCGTCCTGCAGCCTTGCTGAGATTCATCCTTATCTCTGTTACTGCTGAATCCGGTGTCTTCTCTACCGCACAAGGCATGTTACAGCTACAAGAATAGCTAACAGAATGGGCAGGAAGAGTTTGAGCTGGGTTTGTTCCCCGCCCTGGTCCCAGCCCCCGGCGGGCAGGGGTGTGTGGCTGGGATGGGAACTCACCCTCACCGCTCACAGTCACGGCCGTGCCCGCGCCGGATCTGAACTCCTCATCGGCTGCCGACCCCTTCTTATCCTCCTCTCCGGCTCCCGACACCTTCTTAAACTTCACACAGCGATAGGTCCCGGCGTCCGCGGGGCGGGTGTCACTGATGCGGATGGTGAAGTCTGTGTTAGAGCCATTCGCAGCCCGCGTCACCCGGGGGAATGATCCCCTCTCTGCATAAACGAGCTGCCGGCCCCCGCCCGAGCCCTTGAACCACTTCACGGGTCCTGCTGGACCGAGGCCGGTCACAGAGCAGGTCAGAGTGAGAATCTCTCCCGCGGACACCCGCACGGCGTCCTGGGGCTGTAGCAGCCGGAACTCCTCGGCCCCCCCGGCCCCTGCAGCGCAGAGACAGTGGGAGGGTTTTAGTTAATGACAGGGATAATGCGTTGTTATTATTCCTGATATTGTGTATTATTTGCACAGTTCTCCCAGCGTGGTCGGTGAGACCTTCCTCTCCACCCATGAGGAACGGGAGACGTGGTTTCGGAAGCCCTCAGTAGATCTGGGCACTCTGACGTCTGTTGGGTTTAACCGTTTACCTCCCTGCACTCTGCTCCAGCCTACTTAAACCCCTCACCTTGCTGAGTCCCGGGAAATCAAGATGGGGGGTTGTTCCCACCTGAACCTTTAATGTTCCTTGTGCTGTAAACAAAAACCAAGTTACAACCCCGGGGCAAATTCCCAGCCTGGGCCTCCACGCTGGCATGTCTGAAATCAGCAGGTACAGATGGGCGTTTGCCCAGGCAGATGGGTGGTTGGGCACCAAATTACCCAATTCATGTGCACAACTCCGGGACTGCATGTGCAAAGATTTGTGGGGGTGGTGGGTAGGGGGAGTGCACAATTTGCATGCCCTATCAGATGCCTTGTTGAGGCTGGCTGGATGCTTTGGCCCACAGGCCCAGACTCTGCTCTTGAACTGGCTTGTGTTGGGATTGGTAGCCCTTAGATCCAATGGGATTATGTCCCCCCAAACCCTGTGGCAACGCTGCCCAGCAGCCCCCGTGCACCCTCTTCTGGAGCTTCGCTCCATGGCATCGAGCCCTTATGGGCATCCGGGGAGCAGCTGCGGGGCCGAGGCAGCCTTGGCAGTGGGGTTCCCATGGAGCTGTGCTGCCAGGGGCTGGGGAGGGCTGAAGAAAGCCCGGGAGTCGGCGTGAAGCCGCTGAACTTGGAGGCTGGTGGCCACGGTCGCCGATGGATCCTTCGAGATCCACAACGTTTGGGGTTAGTGCTGCTGGGGGCAGAACAAAGCCTGCCCTTTCCCTGCCTCATCGAAAGAATTCAGAGAGCCACCCTGGGCACATCCCACGGCTGTTAGGGCAGAGGGGCTGAGTCTGGTTCTCTCGGCGCAGAGTCTGGGGCAGGTCGTGCGTTGCCATGTTCCTGGCTGGACGCTGGTGAAGACACCTGCTCCGCCGCGGCAAAACTGGCTCCTCGTGTTGCTTGTGCCGAACAGGCCAACCTGGAAACCACATTCCGCGCAGAGAAACTCTGCAAGTTATGGCCGTGCATTTCTCTCCCCCTTTTTTATTTATAAACTCGGGGCGGTCGCACGAAAACAGGAACTTTGTCTCTTGAAGAGGTCATGCGTTATTGCTGGTTATCCCCCACCGGGAGCAGCCGGGCTGGGAGATCATCAGAGCTGTGATGGCAAAGGGAGAGGGGAGGGGGAAGCGGACGGGTCAGATCTCTGCTCAGACCAAGACCCTGTTCCCCTGCATTTCTCGCTGAGAGGGAATAAGCCCCCGGAGAGGCAGCAAATGCGGGAAGAGGCGGGGAGGACTCGTTTCTAAGTACAATGGTTTTCAGGAGTTTTCTGTCCAGGGTCTGCTGCTCTTTCAGAAGCTGGGTTCCAGCAGCTCTTCCAGGACTGACATCACTCGGTGCTCTGCTGTAAAACCGAGCAGGCAATATGGGAGCAGCTCTGCCGGGACTCCATGCAGCCCAGCTCTGCAGGAGGGAGGTCACAGCAGTGCAGGGCTGGGTGCAAGGAAAGTGCGCAGGACATGCGTGTGCTGCCTGATCTGTGCTGTGGGCATGTACCTGGAGGAAAACTGCAGAGGAGCTCCTGGAAAAGAGTCCAAGAACTGTGATGTTTTTGCAGAGTTGAGTCCCATTCACTGGGAAATACATGGAAAGACCTTTCACCTTGCAACACTGCATCCCAGCCTCCCCGGGAGGGTAAATGCTCTGCGGTTATTTTAAACACTTTTGTTACCCCAGTGCTCAGAGGACCCAGTCAAGACGGGCGCAGCTGAACACTGTACAAACACATGGACACGATCCCGCTCCAAAGAGCTTATAACCCGAAAAGACACGTAACGTGCAAAAGGGGAAGGGAGGGAGAGGAAACCATCAAACAGGGACTTTTTTTTACACACACACACACACACACGCACACACTATTACAAATAGTTACCTGTCTCTGTCTTCCCCCTGCACGGAGATCCCTAACTGGCTGATTTCTTTCTCTGCTCCTTAGCCCAGCCAAATTGTATTGCAAAGCCCCCATCGCTTGCCCGCTTTGTACTCACCTGACTTGTCCATGGAAGAGACACCCAGCAACAAGCTCAGCAGCTGAAGCCACGCCGACGTGCAGAAAGCCATTTGCAGGGCTGTAGGTTGGAGACCAGTCAGCCCTGTGGGATTAACAACAATGGTTTGAGCTCAGCCAGCTCAGCTGGCAAAGGAAAATGAGAAGTCACAACAGGAAACAGAAACAACTGGCACATGCATAATTAACACGTTCAGAGCCTGCCCTGCTGCTTGAGCCATCGCTCAGGAAAAGAACTGGCTGTGCCCAAATTCACGAAGAGTTAAAACACGGGGAGGGAATGTTTATACAGTTTTAACACTAGGCATGGACCCGAAGTGGTATCTCAGATCCAAACCCCTTCAAGGCAAGGGTCTCATGTTCATCACTCCATCCATTTACTTCTTCGTTATCATTATTACAGGGTGCTACAGGACACAACAGTGTCTGGGCCCCATTGTGCTAGGCACTGGTACTGGACAGTCCCTACCCCACAGAACCTGCTGCCTAAGAAGCGGAGACAGACAAGGGGCAGGAAAAGGAAGGTGCTGTTATCCCCACTGCAGCACTGGAGACAGAAGCCCAGAGATAGTAAGTGATTTGCCTCAGGTCCCACGAGGTGACTCCATAGCAGATATGGTGAAAGAACCCAGCTCACCTGTGCCGTAACCACAAGACCTTCCTGGCTCCTGCAGTGAGTTCTGCATTGGATCCAAAACAGGAAAAGGCCCGTTTCATGGCCCAGGTTTGGCTCTCCAGAGAAAAACTGATCTCATAAGATCTCCACCATCAAACCCAACCCCAGCCTAGACCTAATCCAGATCCAACCCCACCTCGTTGGCCCATTAACATGGTTCAGGTGCTGTGAGTGGCCAAGTGACTTCCACCCACTCAGATGAGCAATGAAGGGGCCCGTCAGATTAACAGCCCTGCTCAGAGAATAGCTCTAGAACAGGGGTCTCAGGGTGTACCTGAACATGCCGTGGCTGGTAAATTCTCCGGTTTCATTTTTTTCCTGGGGGGAGGGGAGAGATTTCCTTGTTGAGGATTCCCAAAGAGCAGCACTCTGCCAAGACCATCTCTCCCCACTTAAATACCCCAGCAGCATTAGCATGGGTGCTTTATTTCATGGGGGTCAGAGGGCTGGACTATCTGAGGCTTCATGAGAGAACACGGGTCACCAGCCGCTTTGCTGTAAGAAGTAAATAGTAAGGAAAAAAACTGTTTAGCCTGCACAGATTCAAAACAGGAAGTGTCACTAACGCAATCCACTTCCTTCTGCATCAGGGGATGGTCTGATCCTTAACTCCGAATTCTCAATATCTCTTGAGCCAATGGGGAGCTGGCAAAGACTGCAGTGTTGAAAGGTCTTCCCACTGCCACCATGATGGCTTTCTTGACCCAAACGTCTGGACTGTCTCGGCCATGCCTGGTGCTGCTGCTTCTCCTGGAAATCCCCAGTAAGAGACTCATGTATTGCCCATGTGGGCACAAACCGTCTAGACTGTTTTCCTGCTCCATGCAAAAGTGATAAGTTCCAGATGCGTCAGTGGAAGATCTAAGCCCTTGTATTATTTTATACCATAAGAGGAAACTTCTTCCTGACTCCAGCTGGTGATCAGCTTGGTCCTGGCAAGCTGTTCTCTGCCTCCGTCCCATCGCAATGGAAGGGGTTCTGTGCGTGTGCAGAGATCCTGTTTGGATCCAGGAGCGGCGCTGGGACCTTATGGTCCAGCCCCATGTTCACAGATTCTTCTGTCTTACTCCATTCTTTCTGCAGCTCATGTATATTGAGAAATCGTCTTCACTGAGCTGCCTAGACCTTTGTCCTGAGGAATTACAACAGGGTCAGAATCCATGAGCATGCACTGCTCCTCCTGACCCCACAATCCCCCCGCCCCAGGTTGATCAATCAGTTTGTTTTCTAGCTGTCACCTGGCTGTACAACTGCTCTTGTGGATACTTACTATATACCCAGAAGATCATCCAGCCTAATACTGAGCCCAGTGTTCCCATCCCCTTTCCAGCCTGAGAACTGGTCATTTGTTCCTACCCTTTCATTCCCTTCTCTTCACCTGACACCTCTCACCCCAGAGTTGGCACCTGAAAAAGTCCCATGGGGGAGTTTACAATGGTCAAGTCTGTGAGAGTCTCATTTACTCAGCACTTTGCTACAGAGCTGGGCCAGCCAAGCGAGGCTGCCATGTCTGGGTGGGGCTGTCTGAGGAGCAAAGTGTCTCTCCCTTTATGGGAAGTAGGTGACACCCAAAGCAGTGCCCTTGTCACTGGTGGTCCCTCTGTAATGTACGCTGGGCTGGTGATTTATCGGCTGAGCGAAGCAAGGCCCTACACCCCACTCCTCTCTTGGGCTGGATGTAACACAGGGATTTTTGAACTCTAACCTGTCAGTCCCAACATTTCAGGGATGGTTACAGGTGCCAAACAGGAGGAAGCCTATTGATTTTGGTGCAAACTGGAAACCCAGAAGGCAGACATGGGGGACACATGGAGACCCTTGTCTCTGGTGAGCACACACACTGGCTTCAGCTCGGTCAGTAACTGGCTAGAGATCGAAGAACTGGGTGATCCGGGGCAGCGTAACATGCTGACGCCCTCAGTGACTTCTCTCCCAGACAGAAAGAAAAGAAATAACAACAGTGGGGGAAATGGCAGGGCATGGTGGAAGGGGAGAATGGGGGACCCTGGTACCGGGGGAGATGGGCAGGGGGCACACAGAGCCACTGGTGTATGGCAGAGAGAGGCAGAGGGAATGAGGGGGCACACAGAGCCCCTGGGGAAAGGGGGATCCTGGTGTGGGGGAGGGTGGAATGAGGGGACACTTAGAGCCCGTGGCATGAGGCAGGGAGTGGGGGCGTTGCAGGGAGGCCCTGAAGGAGAAGGGGATGGCAGGTGGTGCACAGGCAGGAATGGAGGGGTGCCAGGAGCCCCTGGTGGGTGTGAAGGGCTCGGCTCCGGCAGCTCTGAAGCCGGCCTGCCTCTAGTTTACCCCTGGGGTTTGTGTGGCTGGAGCAGCGTAGCAGCGGGGGCTCAGGGCCCTTGTCCCTGCTCGTGCCCATGAGGTTCTGTCCCTGCCCCGGCTCCCCTGCTCACGCTCAGCGAACCGCTCCCTGGTCCCTGCCTGCCCCCGGGAGCCGGGGCGGAGCTCTGGAAACGCGGCTCTGGGGGCAGCCTGCAGGGGTCGCTGTGGAGCGACACAAAGTGGCTCCCCAGGGAGCTAAAGCCCCCCCGCCCGGGCAGGGCCCGGCTCTCGGCAGGGCTGGGGGCAGGATCCACAGAGCGGTGCCCGGGCCTGGGGCTCAGCCCCCTGCTGCTGCGGGGCGGGGGCTTGTGAACCAGCCTCCCCCAGCCTGGCCTGTTCTCTCCTTCCAGGGGCCGGGGCCGAGGAGTTCCGGCTGCTGCAGCCTCATAGCAGCACTTCAGCAGTGCCCAGAGCCTCCCACCTCCAGCAGCGATGGAGCCCAAATCAGGCTAAGGCATCTGCTCCACCCCAGCGTTGGGGGCAGGGCTGGATGAAGTGGGGAGAGGCTCCCTGGGGCATTAATATCCAGATTCAGATCTGGAGTCAGCGGCTTGTGTCCATCTCTTACTCTCAGGCTCTTTTAATTTTGGAAGATTCCCCCTTGGGCTGGGATTCCTCCTGATCCTGTTCATCCCAGAAGGGAGCCGGGAGGGCTGTGAGTTGACACCATGCAGGACAGGAGGGGGGTATTGCTGGGGGCATACTCCAATGAAGGAGAGAACTGAACTCCCCTGTTGGTGGGGAGTGGGATGTGGGCCACGGGGAAGGGATGTTTTCCAAGTCTTGAAATATCCCTTGGAATCAGCAGGAAAAGGAGCAACTTCTGTACATCGAGATTTCCATGATGTTTTTCATTTGTTTGCCAGTTCCACCCAGGCTGCGAGTGGGCACTGACCCGCCAGTGCCCGTTGCAGTGAACGAGTCTGTGACATTCCCCTGCCGTGTGGAGGGGTTTTATCCGAAGGACGTGAGTCTCACCAGGCTGGAGAACAGAAACGAGACGGGTTAGGAAAGTACTCCCCCATGGCTGAGAATCCAGACGGGATGTACACGCTCCAGAGCTCCCTGGAGATGAACTCAACTGAGCAGAGGAATCCGTCCGCGTTCACCTGTCGGATTGTGCACAATTCCCAGCCTCCCATCAGGCAAGTGAGACGCTGAGGATCTCCGAGCCGCCTGCAGCACCTGGTGGAGGGTTAGATTTGTCCCAGGCAGGCAAAGGGGCAGTTCTAGGAACCCCCTTGTCTGTGTAAAGGAGAGAGACCACTGGACAGATCCCAGTCACGCCTCAGACGCATGAGCAGAAGCTCCCCAGGGGACTCCTGGCCGCTTGCTGATCACGTAGATTTCTACTGCAGGTCACTGTCTGTTTTCCAGCTGCGCCTTCTGGATCGGGCTCTTCCTGGAAAAGGTGCTGACTGCCGCCTTCCTCCTCTTCCTCTTCCTGAGAGGAAGCGGGTCACGTAGTAAGTAAACACTTCCTTCCTGGGATTTACCTTGGGGAAGAGCTGCCAGGGCAATGGAGCGAGTGGGAAAACTCAAGGCTGCATCCCCGGAGCAGAGTAGGAAGAGTTGACACCATGCAGGGACGTCAGCACTGGGGGACACCGGGTGTCTGAAGGATGCTAATAGGATACAACCTCTTGCCCCTCTGGGTTAGCAGCTCGATTCTGGCCCAGAACAGTAGTGGCCAGAGTCTAGTGCTTCTCTGATGATTCCTAGATGGCCACAACATATCGCTAAGTAACCATGTCCCTGGGCCCCAGCTGCCACTCTTGTCGACAGGATCTGCAGCCAGGCCAAAGCTCGTGTTGACCTGGGAAACAAATTCCTCCCCGCACCCAGCACGTGCCCAGGTGCGGGGCCTGCTGGCCTGGGTGGAGGGACAAGGTAGCTTCATTTTTCCTTGGCTTCTCCACGTCACCCAGGTTAGAGCGCAGTGCCCCTCTGGCGTGGCTGTCCCCACAGACCCGAGTGTGTCTACCCTGCAGTCCGAGGGGTGACTGCTGCACCTGGGGGCACTCTGAGCCAGCTTTGGCCTCGCTAACTCCACTAACATAGCAGTGATGGGCAGCAGCGTTCAGCGGCTGTACTCTAGGGCCCTTGGCCAGCCAGAGTCACTGCCCCAGACAGCCAGCTGGGTCAGGGTGAACCCTGTCAGGCCCAGACCAGGTGGGAGATTTTCTTATGTTGCTAAGCATAAGGTCCCAAACAGGTAGCTGCTGGCAACCTTCCACCAGCGTATTAACCCTTTCCCTGCCCAGTCAACTCCTCCCTGGCATTACCAGGGGCTGATTCATTTCTCAGTGGTGTCTATGCAAGTGGCCATGCCCTATTGCTGTCTCTGGGGTGGACTCCTGCAGGACTCCTCTTTCATTACAGTGCCGTGTAGCTGATCCCACGAGGAGTCCTTGTGGCACTTTGGAGACAAACCTCTGTATTTGGGCATAAGCTTTCGTGGGCTAGAACCCACTTCATCGGATGCGTGGAGTGGAACATACAGGAGCAGGTATAAATACATGAAAAGATGGGAGTTGCCTTCCCAAGTGTGAGATCAGTCTGCAGCTGATGTAACATGCCCTCCCTGGTGGTGGTCCCCAGGCCACCCTGCCTTATCTCCGAGACAAACCCCAGCTCGCTCCACTCGGGCCAGCCCAAGTTCCAGCCCAAAGCTGGTGGCACCCTCCCGAGAAGGTACCAGGGGGACAGCTGTAGTTCTCCCCGGTCTTAGTCTTCTCAGTGCTTCCTGCCGTCCATACCCTGATCTGGGACCTGGAGGGGTCGTCCCCTGTCCTAGGGGAGAGGGGTTCAATTTCCAGCTTCTCATAATCACAGGAAATTTCAGAAGCAAAGTCGCAACGGACTTTTTTTCTCAGTTTAAACCTTCAGCTGAATGATGATTTCCCCTCCTGCCTGTGCGCGTGTGGCTGGTGCCCTGGGGAGGCTCCTTGTCGGGCTGGGTTACTGCTCAGGGAAGGTCATGGACTGGCTCTCCTCTTTCATCTCTTTGGTTCTTTCCTTTTTCAGCCCCACTTCTGTTTCCTGGTTTCCTTGCACCCTTCACTGCCTGCCAACTTCGCCGTCTGCACCTCCGTCCGTCCCCGCAGTCTGGGAAATGAGTTCATCGATGGAGCTGCAGTGACCCCCGCTGGCCAGGCCAATGGAGCCCAGGCCTCTGATGAGCTGCACCTGCCAAACTCACCCTCTACTGATGGAGCAGCCGACAGGGAATTCCTGACCTGGCTCCCTGCCCCCTTCACCCTGTCTCTCTGTGCTGTCTGCATTGACCTTCACTTCGGGGAGAAGAGCTGAAATATGGGGTACAACGCACATGATTCTGGTGGAACACACAATGTGTCTATGAGACCCAATGGCCCTGGAGCAGTCCCCCTGAGTCCTGTGGGTTCGACCCTGAGGGTCAAACTCTTGCTCCTGGGGCTGGCAGGAGCTGGGTGTTTTGAAGATGTGACGCCATGACTTGCAGGAGAGAACTGGTCGAGTGGGTCTGCCCTGGCCCAGTGATGGAGCAGCCTGATCAAACCCTATTATCCCTGCAGGAGGCCTCTGGGCCTGACTCTGAGATGGGAGGGATGAGAAGACACGGTGGTAAATGGAAGCCGAAGTAAGGTGAAAATGAAGCAATTCGCTGAACTCCCATTCCCCCTGTTAAGCACCCGCCTTCTGCTCTGGGCAAGGTTGGATCCTGTAGCTGACCCTGCTGGTCTGTGCTCCGGGACACGGAGGTGATGGGAGCAGGGAGCCCAGATCATCTGTAGAGCTGGCTTGTGCCTTTCTGTGATTCTGGACTCCGGCTGGAGCCTCCTGCCTCTGCTTGGCTGTGAAGAGGCAGGAGAAATTTGTGTAATAATTTCTGGCAGTGCTTGAACTCACCCCTGACTGCAGAGCTGGGGTGGGGAGACGGGAAATGTCACGGAGCAATTCCCTAACATTTGTAGCTGTTTTAAAGTCCCATGTCTGAGGCGGGCCTGGGGGGCAGAGCCCCCCTCCACACACTGTGCAGGAGCTTCTTTTACCCCACCTGAGAGAACTGTCTGTGAGTGAATAGATAATATAGCGATTCATCTGTTCTTACCATTTCTCATTGCTTGTGTTATTTATAAAGTGGCTACGCGGTTATAGTCTGCCTGGGAAACCTGTCTCTGTATCCAGAAGAGCCTGGAGACTTAAGGTTGGGGCGCACGGTTTATCTGGACACTAGGACGGTTCATGGTGTATTCACACCCTTTGTGCTGGCTGGTCCTGTTTTGAATTTCAGACTTTGCCGAGTCCCTTTGGAGTTCTCTGGCTAGCCACCCTTATCGGTCCTTGTAAAACCAAGTGACACGCCCAGGGTCAGATCTCCTGGGTCGGTCTCTCAGGTACTGAGTGTATAGTCCGCAGGGACCAGGGGCCTTGACACAAGCAGGGGAAGCTGAGCACCACCCAGCTTGTTCATGTGCCAAACTGGGGGAACTCCATGTCCAGAGGGTGTGGGCGATAAATGGGCCTGTGCAATTTCTGGAGATAAGTTGAAGCCACCGAAAAGCCGGGCCCAAGGTGTTTACTGCCAGCAGATGCTGCCCTGGGACTGCTTTGGGTTGGGCATTGTAGTCCACCGACCCACGCGCATCTTCTGTCCCTACGGCCCAGGTGAGCTGACATTTTCCAGAGACCCACAACGTACAACACAACCTGCCTCCCTTTTGTGGCTCCCAGGGGCAGCTGTTGGCAGAGGGAGGCACGGCAGTGGGGGGCCAGTGGAGTCACCCCAGCAGGGAGCTGGAGAGAGCTGCGGAGGGCCCCAGAGCTGGTGCAGCCGTACAGAGCTTTCTGGCTGATGGACCTGGCTTCTGGTGGAACCCACAATGTCTGGGGCCAGACCCACTGCTGCTTCTATGGGGGGCAAAGGCCACTCTTTCCTCTGCCCTGGACAGAAGAATTTAGAGGCAATTCCCTGGGCCCCCCACAGGATTTTATGGCAGGAGGTTTTGATCTGGCCCATTGGGTCTGTTTCTCTTGGCAAGTCCCAGGCAGGCTGTGCAGAGTCTGGGGCCGGAGGTGGGTTGCATGTTCATGGCTGGAGGGTGGGAAGTCAGTTTTTGAAAAATGATTAAACTAGCAGTATGGCTGCAAAACCCAAAGCTCTTGTGTCACGCCCTTCGCGATTACACTTCAGAGACCCGTCACCTCGCTGCTTGGTGCTCACTGGAATGTTTCATGGCAGATGTAATGGATCAAGCAGCTGAGAACCAGGACCTGTGTAAACAGGACGCCAGAAGCACAGAGATGAAAACACAGTGGAGCAGAGGCTGATGGAGCTTTAAGACTAGAAATGGGACAAAAACAAAAACAGATGCTCAAATCCTAACCCAGGCACATATTTGAAAGGGGACATGGTTTAATACCTGCCCCCATTGATTTATTAATGATCATCAGGATTATGTTTACAGTCTAGAGCACAGCGCTGAGATCTAGGCCCCCTAGTGCTAGGTGCTGTACAAACACAGTGTAAGAGACAATTCCCCATCCGAAATAATTGACCATCGAACTAGCCAAGTCAGACAAAGGCAATTTCAAGATGGGAGCGGAGACCGTGAAGGACTCAGTGACTTCCCCAAGGTCACAGATAATTGAACATCTCCTGGAGCCGAGTCCAGTGCTTTTAGCCAAACCTTCTTTCTCCTCTCATCCAAACTGGATCCAAACTAACTCCCAAACCCAAACTCCAGCCTAGACCTAATTCAGATTCACCCTCTCCCTACCCAGCCCATCTCTAATTAACAGATCAGGTGCCACGAGTGACCATGTGCCGTCCCCCACTGAGGCGTGTGTTGAAGGAGCCTCTCTGGTAGCAGTCACAGCCAGGGACTAGCTCCGGAACAGGGGCCTCCGGGCCCAGCTTTCCGATGTCTCTTTGGACAGTGTTTCTCAACGTGCAGTGGCTGGTAAACGCTCTGCTTTGGTGTTCGGGAGGGAGATTTAAAGGCTGTCAGGGAATTCCCTTCCCAAAGAGCCGCACTCTGCCAGGGCCCCTCTCTCCACCCTTCAATACCCCAGCAGCGTTAGCATGGCTGCTTAAGATCATGGCACACAAAGGGCTGCATTACATGAGGCTTCATGAGAGAATATGGGTCACCAGCCGCTTCGCTGTGAGAAGTAAAATTCATGGTGGGAAAAACCATTTGAGTCTGCCCAGAGGTGGAAGCAGGAAATGTCACTCACGCAACCCACTTCCTTCTGCATTAGTGGAAGGGCTGATCCTGCACCTCCAACTTCTCAGTATCTCTTCGGACAACGGAGAGCTGGCAAAGGCCATGGTGCTGACAGGTCGCCCCTCTGAGAGCAAAATGGCTCTGTCGACCCCTGTATCTGGATTGTCTCTTCCATGGCTGGTGCTGCTGCTTCTCCTGGAAATCCCTGGTGAGTGCAGAACACAGACACGGCCCACGCGAGCGCAAGCTGGCTTGTCTGCTTTCTTGCTGCTTGAGCAGAGGGCAATGCCAGGTGCTCTAAAGGGAGGAATAAACCCTTGTGTAGTTTATATCCCAGAGGAAACCTTCCTGAGCCTAGCTTGTGATCTCCTTATGCTCTGGAGCGTGAGAATCGGAAACAGTGTCTAAACTTGTTCCCAGCTCATGCCACTGCAGGGGCTGTTCTTATTTTTATAAACGTCTGATCTTTTTGTAGAACTCTTACAGAACAATTAGATTCAACAATATCCTGCAGCAGTGAATTCCACAGGTTACTTAGATGTGGATTAAAAATATTTCTTTTTATCCCTTTAAATCGTGTTGCTTTCAGATTCCATCGGGTGCCATGTCTCTGTGGGGCCATCCAGGGGCAAAATAACCCTCCGTTCATTGGCAGTAAGTGACACACCCAGAAGCGCCTTCTCTGTGGCTGGAGCAGCGCAGCAGCGGGGGCTCAGGGCCCTTGTCCCTGCTCGTGCCCATGAGGTTCTGTCCCTGCCCCGGCTCCCCTGCTCACGCTCAGCGAACCGCTCCCTGGTCCCTGCCTGCCCCCGGGAGCCGGGGCGGAGCTCTGGAAACGCGGCTCTGGGGGCAGCCTGCAGGGGTCGCTGTGGAGCGACACAAAGTTGCTGCCCTAGGAGCTAAAGCCCCCCCCCCGCGCGGGCAGGGCCCGGCTCTCGGCAGGGCTGGGGGCAGGATCCACACAGCGGTGCCCGGTGCCTGGGGCTCAGCCCCCTGCTGCTGCGGGGCGGGGGCTTGTGAACCAGCCTCCCCCAGCCTGGCCTGTTCTCTCCTTCCAGGGGCCGGGGGGGCCGAGGAGTTCCGGCTGCTGCAGCCCCAGGACGCCGTGCGGGTGTCCGCGGGAGAGACTCTCACTCTGACCTGCTCTGTGACCGGCCTCGCTCCAGTAGGACCCGTGAAGTGGTTCAAAGACTCGGGCGGGGGCCGGCAGCTCGTTTATGCAACCGCGGGATCATTCCCCCGGGTGACGCGGGCTGCGAGTGGCTCTGACACAGACTTCACCATCCGCATCAGTGACACCCGCCCCGCGGACGCCGGGACCTATCGCTGTGTGAAGTTTAAGAAGGGGTCGGGAGCCGATGAGGAGTTCAGATCCGGCGCGGGCACGGCCGTGACTGTGAGCGGTGAGGGCGAGCTCCCGTCCCAGCCACACGCCCCTGCCCGCCGGGGGCTGGGACCAGGGCGGGGACCAACCTCGCTCCGCCCGGACCCTCCCCGGGGAGCTGCGCTTCCCACCGAGACAGTGGGACCTGGGTTGGGACCTACACCTGTGTGGGCGGGGGGGCTGTGGATTTCAGCGAGATGGGGGGGAAAGGGGGAGAAATTTCTCCTCTATCCCCAGGGATCGCTGCCCCCCAGCGAAAACGAAGTGCCAGGTGCACCGGGTGTGCAGTGGGGGTGACTGGCCGGCTGGGTGCATGGGGGGTATCAGGTGTTGGGTTTATTCTTCCCACTCGGCCCCTCCAGAAAGAGCAGCCGGAGCTGCTGGCGGGGGATGTGGGGGGCCTCTGCCGCCCTTCGCAGCCTCCAGCCGAGCCGGCTGCGACTCCTCACACTCACCTACTCGGGGGACTCGCTCCCAGCACCAGGGGGTTTCTCCCCCCCCTCCCCCAGTGCCCGGGGCAGCCCCAGTGGGAGACGGGGAGCGAGGACCAGGCAGGCTGGGGCAGCTGCTCAGAGTTTGTGCTTCCTTGGCAGAACCGACCTGCGGCCAGACACAGTCCTGGGGGGAATCTACTCGACCCCCCTTCCCCCATCCCCCATAGGGCTCTGGCTGTGGGCACAGAGCTCGGCTGCAGCCAGGGAGTTACTGGGATCTTCTTCTTCTTTTCCTATGACACTTCCCCAGCCCCAGCAAGGACTCTCCTAGTCTGTCCCCTCGACCCCCGCCTTTGCATTTACTCAATGGCTGTGCCTCCCCCGATCTCAGGCTGTCCCTGTGGGGAAGCGGGCCCCATGGGGTGGGGAGATGGGCTCTCAGTCGCAGGGATCTGACTGATAAACGCTCCTCCCTGCAGCCAGCCCCTCGGCCCCGTCCGTGTCCGGCCCCCCCAGCAGGGCGGAGCCGGGTCCCTCAGTGACTTTCGCCTGCACGTCAGGAGGATTCTCCCCCAGATATATCACTGTGACCTGGCTCAAAAATGGGACCAAACTCCCAGCCCCCCAGCCCCGGGTTCTCCCCGAACACGAGAGCGTCTCCTACAACATGTCCAGCACCGTGGGACTGAGCCTGACCCGAGGAGACGTCCGCTCCCAGCTCACCTGTCAGATAGAGCACAGCACCTTACCGGCTCCCCTGCGTGGGTCCTACAACCTCAGAGATGCCCTGCGAGGTAGGAGCCCAGCTGGGGCTACTGCGGAGGGGCAGAGATGGATCCTTCAGCCTTTGGTTCCTTTGGGCTGGGTAGTGGGGGGGGGTAAGAGGGGAGTCACTGAAATCCAGATTCAAATCTGGACTCTGCCTTGTGCCCTTAAAACTTTGAAACTCTTTGCCCTGGGCTGGCACATCCCCTACTCCAGCCCAGTGGAGGGCAGGGTTAGGAAGAAGGTGTTTGACTTTGTTTAAAGCCTGATAAGACACCACTCTCCATTTTAATGTACCCAAGCTGGGTCTGTCAGGGGTTTTTCCAGGGGGAAGGGGAGGGAAATTGGGGACACTGGGTAGACTTGGGTTTTTGTAGCCTGCTCATTTTAAAACATTTGCCTTCCCCTGGGTTTATTCCTGTGAGGGGGACAACTTAGAGATAACCAAAGTTCTTTGCCCTTGAAAAAATATCACATGGCAAGTGGGACGTGGGCTTAGGGGGAAGGTCAGTCTGTCCAGCCCCAGAAATTTCCCTCTAACTCAGCAGGAAAAGGAGAATTTCTGTAGCTGCCGAGCACAGGATATTTGTGTTCTCAGTTCCACCCAGGCTGCGAGTGGGTGACCCAGCAGCGCCTGTCGCACTGAACAAGTCTGTGACGTTCACCTGCCACGCGGAGGGGTTTTACCCGAAGGACGCGAGTCTCACCTGGCTGGAGAATGGAAATGAGACGAATCTTGGAAAATCCTCCCCCCTGGCCGAGAATCCAGATGGGACGTACACGCTGCAGAGCTCCCTGGAGGTCAAAGCAATTGAACAGAGGAATCGGTCCATGTTCACCTGTCGGGTTGTGCACGATTCCCAGCCCCCCGTCAGTGCCAGCCAGATGCTGAGAATCTCCCAGCCACCTCCTAAGCCAAGCAAAGATGGTACTTCACGTGATGCAGGTAAATGTGCAGCTGAACCCTCCCTGCACTGCTGGGAAATGCCAGGTCTGTTCTGCTGAACCCAGGGGTCATTTCAGCCCATCTCCAGCAGTGGAGCGCCTCAGTGTAACAGCGACTCTTTTATTCCAGGTTTATTGCTTAGCTCTGCTCTCCTGGGGCCTGTGGGCGCCGCGGGAAGGGGAAGGTTGAGGGCAGGAAATGCCTCTTTGGCTGCGCTCTGTGCCGAGGGAAGATGCTCTCTGCAGCCCTGCAGGGTGTGAATGTCCCTTGGAGAGGGGCTCGAACACGGTGACTCCCGCAGAGCTGGGGATCCAAGGACTCCGGCACTGCTCAGGGATTTGAGGCTTTTAAGTAAAAGTGCAGGTGGTTCCTGAGTCCTTATTCTCCTGCTCTGCGAAGCTCAAGGTCTCCGCTGTAGAGTCTGGGCCTCCCTGGGGCCAGCCAGCTGCGAGTGGATACAGCTGCCAGGCAGAGCTGGGCAAACTCTGCAGAGGCCATTTGCCAAACTGCTGTTCACAGGTAGGAACTCGCCAAGCCCCGTGGAAGGCCAGTTTCCTCGGAGCCTGGTAAAGGTGCACGTGAGCCAGGGCGGGATGGCCGGGAACCAGCAGTTCTCTTGTCTGCTGGGGGTTTCTCTCCATTGGCTGATCTGAGGCATTTCTGCAGATCAGATCCTGTTCTCCAGCTCCGCTCTCTGGATTGGGCTCTTCCTGGAGAAGGTGCTGACTGCCGCTTTCCTCCTCTTCCTCTTCCTGAGAAGTAAAGAGTAACCAGGTAAATGTCGATTTTCTGTGAGATACCCTGGGGCATTAAAAAGGAGCCAGAGGGAACCGATTGTAATGCTGCAGCCCAGGAGCAGAGCAGGAAGCGTTAATGTCTCACAGGGAGTCAGTGTCAAGGGGTTGGATGTCTCTGGGGCTGCGCGTAGGACACAGACCCTCCCAGTCTGATGCCAGGCCAGATCACTAGTGGCCAGGTGGTTTTTTCAGGGCCCCAGTGCAGTTCCTAGAGCCCAAAGGGGCCCATCACCAGGTGGCCATCTCCCTGGGCACTAACTGCTGCTCTAACCGGGCATCAGAGACCCCAAGGATTGTGTACAAGTGGGAAATGAATTGCTCTGCCCCATAGAGTGGGTCCTTCTGGCTCAGGGTGAGCTCCATGGGGAACTGGCAGGGCTGGCCAGGCTTTACATCACTGTCTGCGCCCCCGTCACATAGAAGCCCCTTTGCTCCTCTCCTGCTCACATGACGCTTCCTCTCCACATGCTCCCTCCGTTTGGTAAATGCCTCCCGGGTTCCGCTGGGGCAGGTTCCCTGGGGGACACAGTCCAGGGCCCCTGGTGAGCTCCGGAATCCCTGCCCCAAACAGCCAGGCGGGTCGGGGGAGCCCTGCAGGGGCCAGGGACACACAGGGGATAAGTTCCCTTTTATCTCATGTTAGGCGCATTGTCCTAGCCATGTCGCTGCTGGAAATCCTGCCCCAAGGTATTCACCCCCAAGAACAACAGTCCCACTCCAGCCGAGGGCCCGGCATTCCCAGATCCCTGACTCTCTCCTGCGCCGGGCCTGTACAGAGGGTCCCAGTGTCCCGTTCGTGCCTATGGACCAGATTCCTTAGTTCCAGAGCCCTGTGACTGCTGTTAACCAGCCTCCCCTGGCATTGCCGCCCAGGTCCCCGTATCTGTGCCCCCAAGAGACAAACCCCCAGCTAGTTCCATCGTGCTCAGCCTGATCCTCAGCCCAAAGCTGGTGGCACCGTCCCTCAGGGAACACAACAGTTATAGCTTGAATCCTCCTCAGCATCACTCTCCTCTGGGCTTCCTAATACTCCTGATCCGGTCCTGATCCCTGACCAGGAGGGTCCCTCCCCTTTTTAGGGCGGGGAGAATTCAGGTACCAGCTTGTCACAGTCACTGGAAATTCAGGAGAGTCAGAGCCCTGAGTAAATCTCCCCTCGGTTAAACATACAGCGTGAGATGACTGCTCCCCGACACCCCGCCCCCAGCTCAGGGCATGATGGGGGCTAACATGGAGCGTACTAGAGCAGTTTGTCCCTGGGCGGCTCCTCCCTGGGCTGGGTTAATGCTAAGGCAAGGGTCATTGACTGACTCTCCTCATTCACCTGTTGGATTCTTTCCTTCTGCAGCCCCTGGTCTATTTCCCAGATTTCTCGCACTGTCGCCACCTGCCAACTTCTCTGTCAGCAGCCTCTGTCCCCGCAGTCCAGGAAAGGAGTCCCTATATGGTGGAACTGCAGTGACCCCTGCTGGCCAATCCGATTGAGTCCAGGCCCCTGATGGGACATACCCACCGCTCACTCATGCCTACTGATTGCGAATCCTGACTGGGCTCCCTGCTCCTTCTCGCCCACTGGTTCTCAAACTTGGGATCGCGACCCAGTTGTGTGGGGGCTCGCGAGCCCAGACCCTGGCGTGGGGCTGCGAGCCATGAGCCCCGACCCCTGCGCCAGGCTGCGAGCCCTGACCCCAACAGCGGCACGTGGCTGCGAGCCCCGACCCTCACCCCAATGTGGGGCTGCGAGCCCTGACCCCGAACCTGGCCAGGAGCGGGGCTGCAAGCTATGAGTCTCGACCCCTGTGCCGGGCTGCAACCATGACACCCAACCCTGACACTGGCGCGGGGCTGTGAGTCCCGACCCCCTTATGGGGCTGCAGAGCTGCAAGCCCCAACCCCAACCCTGCTAGCCAGGAGGGGACCCCGAATACAGATTATACAAAGGTTATATACTTTTTAGCAAAGCATGTTGCCCTCCTGCATCGGAAATCTTAGCCAATAAACAAACCCTTTTCTTATCTACCACCTATCCCTGCTTGATGCATTCCTCGTGCTAAACCAGTATGTTAATTACACAGCATGGTCCTAAAGCCATGCATCAGTAACTTTTATTATCAGGATGGGAGGCCTCACATCAAAGGCCAGGAGATAGGGAGTTAGGGACTGACAAAAAACCAGATACTGGGAGTCAAGGCAGGCTGGAGACAAGGAGGAGGATTTTCACAAGAATGCAGTATCTAAGGAACATGCCTCCTGGTGCATGATGTGCTTGCTTTTAGACAATGGTGGACCCCAAACCAAAATGGAGTCACATGTGCTAACTTTTCCTTAACAGCCTGCAGCTTTTGGGGGACGTGGTTCAGACCTGGGTCTGTGTTTGTAGCAGGCTAGCATGTCTGGTACCCTGCAGAGGAGCCACTGGAAAAGAATCAGTGATTCTTGTCTGTGGGTCCAGCCCTCTGCCCTATTAAATACAGTATTAACCTCAGAGCCCAGCTTCCTCTCTAGAGTAAATTCAGAACTATATGCATTGAGTATTAGTATTGCCATGCTGCTCAGAGGCCTGAGTCCGGACCAGCACAGCTGGATGCAGCTGCTGTGCAAATATATGGCCCTTGCCCCAAAGAGCCTGCAATCCAACGATGGGATTTTTTAAAGGGCTCAGAATTGGCCCAGCCCTGCTCCCGTTACAGTCAATGGTAAAACTCCAAAAAATTGGTGGAATCCTGACAAGCAACAATGTGCAAACATCCCTCTTTGCATCCTTCGGCCAGCAATGTTGGCACGGATGCTTTATCTCATGGAACTCGAAGGGATGGACTGCATGAAGCCTTGCAAGAGAACACGGGGCACCAGCCGCTTTGCTGTGAGATGCCGAATATATAACGGGGAAAACCAGTTTAGTCTGCACAGATCTGGAAGGAGGACACGTAGCTAACACGCTCCACTTCCTTCTGCATTAGAGGAACTGCCTCTGAGCTCCAAGCTTCTCAGTACCTCTGTGAAGAGATAACAACAGCAACTGTGTAGAACAGTCTCCCTTTACCATCAACCCAAGTGTCTGGATTGTTTATTTTGTGCCTGGTGCTGATGCTTCTCTTGGAAATTACTGGTGCGTGTAGAACATATAAATCGCCCACATTGGCACAAACCAGCTAGTCTGCTCTCTTGCTGTCCACAATTCCAGATGCTTCCAAACCCTCCATAATGCAACAATTGTGGCATTTCTACCATGAGGAGAAAGTTCTTCCTGACCCCAGGTGATGCTCTGGGATCTGGAGAATGAGAATTAGTAACCCTGTAACTTTAGCTCAGCTGGTGTCTGTGCAGGGGCTGTTCTTGTGTGAATAAATGTAAAAACTGTTTAAAAAAAAACTCTCTAAGCAATTAGCTTCACTAATATCCTGCAGGAGTGAATTCCACAGGTTAATTATTACAGGTCTAAAAAGAATTTCCTTTTAGATTCCATCAGATGCCCACTATTATTCCTGTGCTAAGAGGGTAAATAGCAGTACTTGTCTTTTTGCTCTTCACTATTTTACCTGTTAGGGGGCTTATTCCTTCACCCACTTACTTCCCTGGTCCTTCTCGCATGAACAGAGAGCAACAATACCCGAAGTCCAAAGGTGCAAACAATTCGATGTTTATTGGGGTGAACTTCCAGCAAGCATGATTCCAGTTTCCTTCCTTAGTATCCTCCTTCCCAGCTCTGACACCACAGAGCCTTACACCTGTGTCCCTGTTCCCATTCCTACCCTTAGCCAAACATGATTCCAACTTCCTTACTCCCATTCCCTGTTCCCATTTCCCCCTTTAGCAAACCATGATTCCAATTTTCTTACCCCCATTCCCTGTTCCCATCTCACATGCACATGCACATGCCCATGCCCACCCCCACCCAGTCACTTCCTCATTGACTACAGATTATATAGTAAAACTTGAGTTCTGCTTAGCTATACCTTAACCAATCATTTTCCTGAAATTTAACTAACCAATCCTAACATATTGTAACATGATTATGTAACCAATTATATCCCACCACCTCAATTAGTTTACACCCAGCAAAATTAATTATACAGCAGACAGGAACAATCACAGAACCAGACAGAGATTATACAGACAAACAACAGCAAAGTGGGAACTATAATGACAAAACAATACAGAAGTGAGGATTTCACATCCCAGCTATTGATAAGTGAGTTCTTGCCAGACAGGATGCTATCAAACTAAGTTTCCTTTTACATTTTCTAGGCACTTCCCTTTCTCTGGAGGTGATAGGAATACAATCCTGTCCTGATAGTGCCTAACAGCCCAATAGCACCTTATTTCAATGTGACTAGTTTGGAATGTGAGGATGTGACCGTTCGCTTCCCAGCTTATGGCTGCCTCTGCTGCTTAGCCAAAGGCCTGAGCCTAAGCACAGGGCCACAAACTGTCACAGTAAGAGAAGGCCCTTACACTGGCAGACAGTGGTTTTGATTCTTTCTTTTATACCTCTGTCACTAGCCAAGTGATAAGAATACACCTAAATTCTTAGAGTATAGGCCTTTACAGACAGGCCTGAATATCTATATCCTAACACTACCTCTTTATTTTCTTTTCCTCTTTGAAACAGTCCCATTCTTTTTAAGTCACTCACTATATGAAATGTTCCCCACAGCCTTTCCCAAGGTCTCTGCTAGTTTGGTTGCTCCTCTGTGTCCTTTTTTAATTTCAGCTGGAGGAACATCATTTTAGATGAGGCCGTTTAATGGGAGTGCAGAATTCAAGGGGAAAGAAACTACTGAGTGATACAACTGCAATGTATAATTGTCTCGTTGCTTCTTCCTAAAGCTTTATTCTCTAGTCACTGGTTTTTAGCAGTGTGCACCGACCAGACACCTTCACTGAGCTGCCCGCGAAGTTGCCGAGATCACTGTCCTGAGAAGTTCTAGTTACTTTTTGTGGCATTTCCCTCAATCTCCCGCTCCGCCAACCCCCTGAATCTTGATTAACCTAAAAAATGTCACATTGCCCCCTTGCTCCAATCCCTCTTCCAGATCACTCCAAACTATACTGAGCAGCCCCGTCCTAGTGCTGATCCCTTGTTTTCCCGCTACTTCTCTCTTAGTATGCAGAGCACAGAGCATATATTCCTAATTTTCTTTTCCTGTCTCTTCACCTGATCCATGACAGCCCTTTACTCCTCACTCTGCAGTTGTTGCCTTGAAATGCTCTTACATGGGGACTTATCAGGAAATATCTGAGAGCCTGATTATGTTCTGTGCACTGGGTATGTTCCTAAGGAAAGCAGCCAGGTTAAACAGAGCTGGGGAGTTGCCCTGGCTACATGGGTGTTATCTAAGGAGCAAAGTCCCCCTCCATTTATTGGAAGTAGGTGACACACAAAGAAAGTCCCTGGTCACCAGAGGTCACTGTAATTTGCATTGAGCTAGTGATTTATTTCCTGTGTCCATTTTATTACCCACTGCATCCTCCTGGAGTCAGTGCCATTGGCCTGATGCAGTCTGTGATGGAAGCTTCATCTGCCCTAGCTTTTGAGGCCACTGAAATCAGAGTAAAGACACTCACTGATGGCAGTGGGTTTGGGATCGGGCTCCTACCCCATTACAGGTGCCAACGGCCAGAAGTTCCAGGTGCTGCAGCCCCAGGGCCCAGCAAAAGGAAAACATGAAGTATGGAGCGTGCAATGCAGATTATTTCATGTGAATTATACCAGGTTGCTGTTTGACCCGATGGCCCAGGGTACGTTCCCTGACGATGTGGGTTTGATCCCAAAGCTCAGGCTCTTGCTCCCCTGGGGCGGTAGGAGCAGGGAGCCTTGCAAATGTGACCCTTTAGCTGACAGGAATAGAAACTGTCTGAGCGTTACTACAGCCTCTGTAGCTGGCCCAGCCCTGGAGCAGCCTTGAGAGGTTTCCTAAGGGAGCTTTGGGTATGCTGCTGGCCATTGGGCCTGGCTGCGGGAAGTGGGGGATAAGAGGAAAGTCCGTGAGGGGGGGTCTCAAGAACGGGGGGGGGTCTCAAGCAGGTGAATGTGATGCATTCCCCATGGTGATGTCCTGCCTCTCTGCTTTGGGCAGAGTCTGCCGGGGTAAGTGTATGCTCTGATCCCTAAGCAGTGACACAGGGGAGCAGGGAGCGCAGAGGGCCCCCTTCTGTGATAGTCGTTTACACCAGGCCAGCTGGGCATGCAGCGTGGGGAGGTGCTGCTCGGCTGCTTAGGGAGGGAGTTGCTCTCACTGTTCTATGGTAGGTCTACACGGCACACGCCTTTCGACAGTGTGCGGAGCTCACACACCGCACGCCCCCCCTTTGATGGGTATGAAGTGCTGTGTAGATGGTGAGACATTGGTTAGGCAAGTACAGTAAAGACATCCCTGCACCCTGTGGGTATGTACCCGGATATGTACCTTGCAGGGCTCTCTGCTCACCCAACCAGCACCTCCCTGCATAGGTGCCGATTCCATGGGTGCTCCAGGGCTGGAGCACCCACAGGGAAAAAATGGGGGGTGTTGAGCACTCACCAGCACCCCCCCCAGATCAGCGCCAGTCCCTCCCCCCAGCGCCTCCCGCCGGCCGTGGATCAGCTGTTCCATGGTGTGCAGGAGGTGCTGGGCGGCGGGGACGGGGGAGCGAGGGCAGGGCACGCTTGGGGAAGGGGGCGGAATGGGGCACAAAGAAGTGGGGCGGGGCAGGAACAGGCGAGGGCGTGAAGAGGCAGGGTGGGGTGGGGTGGGGTGGGGCCTTGGGGAAGGGATGGAGTGTGGGTGGGGTCTGGGGCAGAGCGGGAGATGGGGGTCAAGCACCCCCCAGCACAGTAAAAAGTCAACGCCCCTGCCTCCCTGTCTACTTTGCTATTTTCAGGAGTGAAGTTTCCCGCTGCCTCCCTGCTCCCGAAGCCTCTCCCTGCGGCAGGGGGCTCCCGGAGCCTGTCCCCATGCAGGGTTAGCTACGGGATTAGACGGGCAATGCTGGGATGTTCCGTCAGTGCCCAGAGCAATTTGGCCTGTCTATGCCAG